TTATTATAAAAGAATATGAAAATGGGAATCTATAGTTGATAAAATTTGCATGTTTGAAGTGTTTATGTATGAACCCAAGACAGTGAACAGAATGCTTCATTACCAATTACCAAGTGCTGTATTTGAAAATGTCATGGAATAATTCTGAAATCCCCCCCCTCCCTCCCTCCCTCCCTCCCTCCTTCCTTCCTTCCTTTCTTCCTTCCTTCCTTCTTTTATATTCCATCCTCCAATATAGCAGTTCTTTCCAGTGCACCTACATGTTTTTCACATGTATGTTTTTTTTCCAGTAAGTTTCTCACCAAGCATCTTGTTGAGGTCAGAAATGTCTTAAGGGTAGTTCAATTTTTTGTTGAAGAATTGCATCTGCTTCCCAAAGGAATAATCATCTTACAACCCTTAAGCTTTTGCAATAGCTTTTAAGCAATATAATGCACTGTCAAATGCATCTCATAATCCAGTAGCATGCTATCTTTTAAAAATGAAATATGAAACATCTTTTTGTGCTCATTTTAGAGCTGTTATTATGTTGATTGATGCTCTGCCTTCCTGCAGTCATTTTGCAATACTCAATAACTAGTGATTCAGATGTTTGGCAACTGGCTGCAACCAATTATATTGGTTGCAGCATCCCATGATCATGTGATTGCAATTTGCAAGCTTCCCTATTGGCTTCCCACAAGCAAGGTAAGAAGACTGCATATTGCTTCTGCAGGTCATTTCCATTCCAAACAAAAATTAAAATAATCAAGAAAATAGTAAGAGAACACCTATCCGACCTTGACGAATATAAATCACCAGGACCTGACAGATTACATCCCAGAGTTCTAAAGGAGCTGGCAGATATTATCTCAGAACCATTGTACCACTTCTTTTATAAATCCTGGAGCAACGGGGAAGTACCCTTGGAAAAGGGATGATGTGGTTCCCATCTTCAAGAAAGGGAAAAAAATGGACCCAGGACTAATCAGTTTAACATCAATACATGAGAAGATCCTAGAAAAGATAATAAAAAAATCAGATCTGCAAACAACTAGAAGCAAACAAAGTTATAACTAGTAGCCAAACTGTTAAAAACAGTTCATGCCAAACCAATCTTATTTCATTCTTTGATAAAGTGACTAAACTAGTAAACCAGCAAAATGCTGTGGACATAGTATACTTAGATTTCATTAAAGCACTTGATAAAGTAGATCACAACCTACTCCTTGGTAAGCTAGAAAAAAATGAAATAGACAACATCACCACCAGATGGATTTGTAGCTGACTGGCAAACCATACGCAGTGAGTAGTCCTCAATGGCACTACATCCACATGGAGAGAAGTAGGTAGTGGGGTAACACAAAGTTCCATCTTAGGCCCAGTAACTTCATCAATGACTTAGATGAGGGAATTGAAGGGGAACTCATCAAATTTGTAGATGACGCCAAACTGGCAGGAGTAGCAACACCCCAGAAGACAAACTCAGGATCCAAAAAGATCTTGACAAACTTGAACAATGGGCCCTATCCAACAAAATGAGTTTCAATGTGGAGAAAAGCAAAGTTTTACATTTAGGCAGAAAAAATCAAAGGTATAAGTACAGACTGGGCAAAACCTGGCTTAAAAACAGTAACCGTGAGAAGGACTTTGGAGTCTTAGTGGACAATCACTTGACTATGAGCCAGTAGTGTGCAGCAGCAGCCAAAAAATCTAACACAATCCTGGGTTGTATAAACAGAGGCATAGAATCAAGATCACGTGAAGTATTAGTACCGCTTTATAAAACCCTAGCAAGACCACACCTGGAATACTGCAGCCAGTTTTGGTCACCATATCACAAAAAAGATGAGAGTTTGGGAAAAAAAATTCAGAGAAGAGCAACTAAGATGATTAGAGGCCTGGAGACTAAAACATATGAAGAACGGCTGCAGGATTTGGGTTTGTCTTGTCTAAAGAAAAGAAGAAATAGGGGAGACATGATAGCAGTATTCCAGTATTTGAGGGGCTGCCACCAAGAAGAGGGGATCACGTTATTCACCAAAGCACCAGAGGACAGGACAAGAAACAATGGTTGGAAACTGATCAAAGAGAGAAGCAACCTGGAATTAAGGAGAAACTTCCTGACAATGAGGACAATTAACCAGTGGAACAGCTTGCCTCCAGAAATCTTGGGCGCTCCATTACTGGAGATTTTTAAGAAGGGGCTAGACAGTCACTTGTCTGAGATGGTATAGGTCCCTTCCAGCTATTCTATTCTATTCTATTCTATTCTATTCTGTTCTGTTCTATTCTATTCTATTCTATTCTATTCTATTCTATTCTATTCTATTCTATTCTCATTGCTTTTTCATGCACTTGCCCACATTCCATAGCACCTGCCCATGAAGTCTGCCTAGCTTCCCATTCCTAGCTCTTGCCTGATGGCCCCCTTGCCTAGGAATCTTGTCTCTTCTCACACTACAATCCTGTGATATCTTTGTTTAATAATCTGGGAATATTGGAGTTATGATAGCAACTGGGGGATTGCCATCTCTATGTTATATGGTCATATGACATTTTGCTTAGTGAAGAAAATTATCAGCCCAGCTGCCTTCTTAACTCAAGAATTACTGCTAGATTATTCTGCTTTATTATAGATTTTTATATACAGTACTTCTAAAATGTTCAGCTAATAAATACCTTTTCTTTCTAAGATATGGCAATCATTTTATAAGGCAGCTTTCCCCAGCATGATATCCTCTAGATATTTTGGATTATATTGCCCATCTCATCAATCTAAGCAAGAATGGACAATATTGTGGTATGGTGAAACTTCTAAACACTTGTTAATCAGAAATAGGCTTTGCCTTGAACCCTGGTTATGTTAGGCTAGCAGGATACAATAGTCTTTATCATAAATGCTACTAATTGAATTTAATAAACGGTTAAGGAAAGGAGACTTGTAGATAATCCTTTGTGTGTTATGAAACATAAAAAAAAGCTCAGAAAGGGAAAAGTCAAAATCTGAATTTTTGCACTAGACAAAGCAAGTAATTTTGATTATTATAATTTGAACTGTGGTAATTTGATGTACAGCTGGCTATCTTAAAATGGCTCACAAAAGGACTCCAATATTACAGACAAATTCTCAGTAAAGTTTTCCAAATGCCATTTTTCCAGTTTTAAATCCCAAATTAATTAAACTTGGAGTACACTGATTAGAATTATTGGAATTTTTTGGCTATAAATATTTTAAGTGTCAATGTATCTACCCAATCATCACTAATTACAGGTCTCACCCATAGTCTTCTTGGTGTTAGATGAATTTTAAAAAAAAAATCATGTAAAAATAATACATGTTTTTTGTGTCCCATGTCTTGTTTTTAACTAGTTATTTTAGCAGATAACTGGTTTTTAGTATTCTGTTTTTAACATCCTGTTGCTATATTTAATGATATAGCTCTTCAGTAGCTCCCCAGGTAATTTCTGTAGTGGGATAACAGAATCAATAAATAAGGGAATACAGAAATTTAACAAGGACTCCTGATATAAACTCATAACAAGGAATACTTATAACAGTGTACTTAGAAATTAGGAAAAGTGAAGACAAGAAATGAACGGTGATGTACTGTCACAGCATCAGTGTGAATAAGCAAAGGACATATTTTGTGTTAAATAATACTGCTATGACATTTTGGAAGCAAGAGATATTCCTATAACAGATGTCCAAAGAAGCCTTTAGTCTCTTTACAGATAATATTTTTGGACTGGACAGAATACTCTGTAGATTTCCCAGTCTTTTCCATATTAATTTTTCTCCAGTAGCCCAAAGGCCTACAGATGATGCTGTGAGTAACATGATTGCCTATTGTGTCATGCTGAGAAATGATGATTCATATTGCCCAGTGCCAAGCTGGTCCTTGATGCCAAGAGCTCTTGGTAATCATTGTAAATAACTGACAGTTGGATAATTGCTGCTTTGTAGTTTACTCCATCTGATCCTTTGAAATCAGTGCTATGGGTTCTTTTTAACTACTGAGATATAGAAATGAGCATATGGGAACTAAAGAGAGGAAATTAATTACTGTTCAATTATTTGTAGTATTTGTTAATATGTAGGAAACATGTAACCAATGAATATAGCCAGGTTCAGCTATCGGAATATTATAATGGTGTAAACTAGCAATTGTCAGGTGTTCATTAATGTCAACATACATAGAATTCTTAAGTGGATCAATGTTTACTCATTCCTAACCTAGAGAGAGAGAAGGAAGCTTCGGGAAATATCTAAGTCTACTTCAAACTGGAGTAAATCTATGCCTTGTCATAAGTGAGGAATCTTGATCTCAACTTTATGGTTGCTCTTTAAGGGTCTTCTATAGCTGGAGTCCACACCCTGGGTCGCAACCCCCTACTGGGCCTTGAGCTGTTCAGAACTGGGCTTTTGAAATTGTGAGCAAGTGCATGCGTGTGCGCATCCCTACTTGCACGAGCAGTGGGTCAGTGCGTATACGTGTGCTCAATTTGTGGAGTTTAATTGTAGTTAAAATATATGGAGAGAAATATAATATTGCCTAATGAAGGCTGCAAAAACTTAGAGGCCAGAGAAATCTTTGTGATTGTTGGGAGGGAGTGATGGAGAGAATGAAATAACATTATCTTAGACAGAGGTATGGCTGACTGCCTGAAATCCTGAACAGAAGTGTATGTGCTGCAGCATTAATTTTCTTAATCGTAAAAGCAGATGATTTTCTTAACTGATTAATGTTCCATGTTCTACTAAATAAATAATCCATAATGTTCTTTTCATCCTTCTGACTATACCAAAGAAAAGGAACTCAAATAATGTAAAATGCTTCAATAAATTTTAACTATTTTGTAGCCCAGTTTAATGTGTGCTAATGAATATAAACTACTATTTTCTATATTCAGATAAACCAAACCTACAGTCATTAGTTAGTATATATTTTTATCCAGTAGGAGATTATTTCATAGTGCTTTAAAAAATTATTTGTTCTGTATGTCCTTTCTCTTTCCAGGACATCAGTTTCTTCCTATTGCGGCACAAGATCTTCCATTTGTTTCAGTATCTGGATATTTGGAAAAACGTAGAAAAGGTAAATTAAAAAGGTGATAGAAATAATACTTTAAATTTTTATAGTGCTTGCAATCATTTTGTTTCCAGAGGCAAATGATTCACTTAGTTTGGAAAATATTGAAGGAATTTAACCATAATTAAAAATATAGGTGGAAATGTAATGAACAATTCTTGCTGGAAGTATAGCTTCGGTGTATCTGAGCACCATGGACAAGAGAAGTTGGTTGTTACTATTTTTATTCCCTTACCCATAATTTCAGGGATCATCACGGTTGTATTCAATGCAACACGATGAATTTATTCATTAAGTTTATATGCCACCCATCTCATTCTAAAAAGCAATTCTGGGTAGAGTACAATTAAAATAATAATTATTGAAATATTAATAAGATTAGATGTAAAACTAGAAAATCCAGAGCAAGAATGGCACAGTGGGTGGCATCCTCCCTATTATTCCTCCCAGCCACCTCCAACATAAAGTGCTCCCAACAGGGCCTCAAGCAGAGTCAGGTTTTAATGTTTTTCTGGAAGGCCAAACTGATGGGGGCAGATTTTGCCTTTGATGGCAAGGTATTCCAAAGAGAATGGAGACATGGCAGAAAAGGCTATCCTCCTAGAACCCATTAGCTGAAAATCTTTAACCGACGCGGTCTGTAGCATGCTCCTTATACTGAAAAAAAAATGGGTTGTGGGCCAATTCATTGAGACAAGACAGTTCCTCAGATAACCTGGTTCCATGCTTTGTAGGACTTTAAAACATGATAACCAATATCTTGAATTGAACCCAAAAGCAAACTGGCAACTAACTATCTGCTTCCTAAGCATATTTTTCTTGATTCCAAAGACAAGAAAAATGTCTTGGCTCCGTAATGTAGATCTTAGATTCAATTGCAATAGCTTTTCTATCATACCATTATTTCATCATAATTTAAAAAAAACATATTCTGAAAAAGCACATTGTTCATTCAACGCTAAACAATAGATGCTGCTATTATTAGCCACATTCTTGAGATACTAAGATCATGCATATCGCTAGAAGTTTATAAAATGAGAAATAATACCTTACAACAGTAATAATAATTTACTGGCCCTGGTGAAAATGGAACATTTAAGAATTTTGAAAATGAAAAAAGGAAAATAATATGTATACAGTATATGCAACTTAAGCTTCAGAGCCTCTGATTTGGATATATGCATTCTCTTATGCATTATCATGTAATCATTCAAATGTAGAGTTGGAAAAGAACTAAAAAATCACAGCTTACCCTGTGCTCAGTACAGGATCTCCTTAAACATTTCAAATATCTATGTAAGATCTGTTTGAAGATGTGAGAGAAATGTATCAGGGGTAGGTGCCAAAGTTGGTGAAGAATAATATTTACTTTTGACAGTCCTTGCCTACATTCATATTTGCACCAGAATGTATCTTTTCCATTGCACATCATGAATTGCTTATTTTGGTCGGTTTGTAATTAATAAGTTTTGTTATGTGTAAAAATCTGTGTGAATTATTTTAATTGCAGATCACAGTTTCCTTGGCTTTGAGTGGCAAAAACGTTGGTGTGCTTTGAGTCGAACAGTCTTCTACTACTATGGAAGTGACAAAGGTATTGCAAAATATAGGGACTATTTTGAATGCTGCTGAATGGATATTAACAATTAACTGTTTGTATTGCAAAATATAGGGATTATCTTGAATGTTGCTTAATGGAGATTAACAATTAAGTGTTTAGAAGCCTCAGGGGCCTCTCTATTGTTTAACTGCATACCGGATTTACGTGCAATTTTCCTGGCTTTCATATAATTCTCCGTGTGCTTCCAGATGATGTAAATATACTGTCTTGATGAAATGTTCTCTTATTTTCTTTCTTATTTCCTTTGGAATTATACATGGGTCTTTTTTTCTGAACTTCGATCAGCTTTCAAGATGTTACAGCATTATCTTGTTTAGTTTTCTTTGGTAATATTTCCTTCTCTCACCACCATCATCTCAAATGTGATTTCAGTATTTTGGATCTGTTAAGTATCATTAGGTTTCATTTGGTTCTAGCTAGAAATAATGAGAAACCTCTACAAGGCATTCTGTGTTGCTATAGAGTTTTATATTTAAGGTATATTTCATTCCATGGTAAAACATTTTTTTAAATAAAAATTCAGGTGATGTATCATATAGCTGGACAATCTGGTAAGAAAATGTTTCAGGATGATGTGCATAAGCTGTCCAATGTCAAAAGAATCAAAGGAAAAGTTATTTGCTTGTGATGGTTTAAAATGTGGATGCTACTGAAAACTTAGAAGCAGTTGAAATTTATATTACAAATACAATGTGGCAGTGTTCATCAGGGAGCACAATAGATGTTTTCCTTAGCTTACTATAGTTCTTTAGTTTCTTCCCCAGCTCTCCAATTTTCTGCCATTCACAATTTAATACTTAATAATGAAGGACAGCACTGGAATCCATATAACATCAATACTGTTACAGTCATTTCAAATCCCAGGATGTCAGACAAATAAATCAGTAACATTTCTTTATAAGCCATAGGAATTTGGACCATTTTCAACTGTAGTCTTGGAAAAAGCAACATCCAACAGTTTATAGAAATGTGTTACGGGTAGATACTGTCCATTTTTGAGATACTGTCACTATAGTTTCACAGTTCCTTTACTTAGGAACACCATTTGACCCTGTTCTACACCACAGTGAGAAAGTGAAAGTGAAAGAGAATCAGAACAATTACATTTACACCAGGGGTCTCCAACTCCTGGGCCACAGACTGGTACTGGTCCATTGCCTGTTAGCAAGTGGGTCGCACAGTGGAGGTGAGTGGCAGGCAAGTGAGTGAAACCGAAACCGTTCCCGTTCCTCCTGATCCAGGGAAAAAAAATTGTCTTCCATGATACCATTCCCTGGTGGCAAAAAGGTTGGGGACCACTGGTTTACAGCGTATCTCAGACACCTCCTATTCTCTTTTTTTTTTTCTTTAATGAGTGGACTGGTTGGTTAACTAGGCCTAAGATAGAAGCTGTTGAGATAGCTTAATTCATGATGATTGTGAAGGAGTTTTGTCTCTGGTTGACTTAATTCTTCTTGCCATATATTTCTGTTATTGATCATGGGAACAATTAAACTAAAAGCAAGTACAGCATGTTTAATGTCAAAAGTCACTTCAGAAAATGTGTGCAATTAGTGGTGTCTCCACTTACTGTTTCCATGTGGTTTAGAATATTACCATAGTTGTAAAAAATGCATTCCCAAATTATTAAGGGACTATCAGATCACTCAGAAAACTGAAACCTGTTCAACATATACTACTTTAGAGTACTTGATATACCTGTAATGGGATCTTCAGCACATAAAAGTCAAAATGAACTACAAATGAGGTTTTGAAACTTAACCAATACATATACAACAAATTTAAATACAAAGATTTAAAAAAACACTAAAGAAAATACATCAAATAAAAAGGAAAAAACTCCAAAATGTGCAAAAAAAAAAAAAAAAGAAAGGAAAAAGGTTTACAAGGATTACAAGAGTTTAATAAGAATCTTTTCCACAGGAAAATGCTTTGGTTTTGAATTCTTTTTTAACAAGTGATAGGATGATATATATAACATGTTGTCAATTCACACTGAACAAATGGCACATTAGACCTGGAGTTATAGCTTTTCCATATTCAATTGCTTTGGTCACTAGGTGAAAAACACCTTTACAAACTGCATCTGAAATTCACTTTTTGAATTCCGTTACTGGGGTAGATATAACAGGGAGATCATCAAGTTCTTTGCTAGATCAGTGACTACTGAACCAAGAAGAGACACTGATTTATGGAAGACTTGTATTTCAAGTTCCAGGTTCCAGTTCTTGATTCTCTCTCTCCCCCTCCCGCGAGGCATCAATATGTGGCACTCCACGCTAAATAACACCATCTGTAAGGATCATCCTGTGAGATTCTATAAGCAGCCTTTTCAAAAATGTCCTTTGTAGTTTCTGCTTAAAAAAGAGTTTTATCTTTCAACCCACTAAATCCACTCACAGTAATGTTCAACTCAGTCTCTTGAATATTCATGAAACAGAAAAACAAAATCTGAATAAATGATAACCTAGTAAGACATTCATTTTCAATGTTGCAAATGAAATTCTATCTTTACCTTTCATCTACAATAGACAAACAACAGAAAGGTGAATTCACTATAGATGGCTACACCGTCAGAATGAATAATACCCTTCGGAAAGACGGAAAGAAAGATTGCTGTTTTGAAATCGCTGCTCCTGATAAACGCATTTATCAGGTTGGAGTTTTTATGTTGTCTTGAAATTAAATTGATAAAACTGTTACTGTTCCAGTTATGGAGACATTAATATTTTGGTAAAACATTCCCTGACAAGTTGAAAAAAGAGCCTGGGTCGGGGTGGGAATGGAAATCCTTTATTTTCTTACCTTGTAGATTCGTATAATAGATTCTGCAAAAAGATTGTTCTAATACTAAATTTTTAGATAAGAACAGCATATATGTCATACTTATCTGCTTGCTCATTTTACTGCTTACATTTAAGTATCTATTATCTAATAGGTTTGTCTGATTTCTTGAATTAATAATGTTGTAAAATAATTGAATATAAATTCTTCAATGTTAAATATGTATTGCATTGCTTAGAGGCCTAAGGGGGAAATCAAAGTTAAAAGTATGCAGTGTGATATCTATCAGCTAGGTATCAATGTGAAATGTAAGTTTAATAAGTTTTAAATATCTGAGATTGCAGTTGAAAGCCAGTTAATTAAGTTGTCAGGTACTATGTTGGAATGTGACAAGAACATTTTTAAGAAAACTACCCAGCAGTCTAAAGAAATTCATGGGTGTCTTCTAATTGTCAAGGGCAAATTTTGTTCATCAGTCCTGGTTTTGACATTGATGAAGAGAAGCAGCTTTTTTATGCACAGCTGCTGATCAGAGTTCTAAATCCATCATCCTCTGCTTCAATTACATAAATTTGTCAAAATTAACTGTACATTATAAGAAGCATCCTTGCAAGAAAAGTACCAGAAGACATGTAAAGAATTACTAATGGTGTCTGGAAGAAATGACCAGAATGCTACTTTCTTGGCTTTATTAATATAGTGCTGGTTATGTTTTGATGCTCATGATTATTCTTCTCTAAAATGAAATTTCTGAACAGTTTACAGCTGCTACTCCCAAAGAAGCTGCAGAATGGGTAGAGAGGCTGAAATTTGTATTACAAGGTATGCCAGTTGTTAACAAGACACTTTGCCTATAATGATGCTGGAAATCAAAACTTCCTTGTTTTTTTCTTTGTTGATCATGTGATTATTGTGTTGTCATTAATAGTGTATTTTCTTTTTCAGCTATGTATATTTATGAAAGGTTAAGGAATCCTCTCTACAGTTAGGAGTAAGTGCCATTGTACCTAGTTGACTTCCATTCCAAAGAAGCTTAAATGAAGTGTTCATTCTTAATTAAAGTGCTAGTAGTATCTGTATGTGAATTGTTTAATAAATACAATTAGAAGGGATGTATTGTATTACTTTGATATGAAAATTGAAGGATGTGAACATATATTTTGCCCTAGAGAGTTCCTGGTGAAACTATCTGGCTAAGGTGACTGAATATCTTTTCTATGTTTTGCATTTTTAACAGATATGGGATCTCCAAATATTCCAGAGGAGGAATATGATGACATTGAGGAAAATTCCATATCTCCTTCTCAACCAGGAGTAGAATTTATAGCTGATGACATTTATGAAGAGCTTCCAGGTATTTTTGTTCCAGTTGGTTGAAAGGACTGTAAAAGTTAGTGATCATTCTTTGCGTGCTAGCAAGTAAAGTTTAAACAGATTTCACCAAGCTAGTGCTCTCCAGGCATATTTCGACTAGCTGGGAATTCTGGGAATTGTAGTGCCAAAATTTAGAGCAGACGAGGTTGGAAAATGTTTTCTTAGATGGGGGAACAGTATGTAAATTCTACCTCTTGGACAAGTCATGTACCTCTGTCTCAATTCTGTATAACATTTGAATTCAGATATTTGTAACATCTGGAGTAACAGTAGTAACAATATTTTAAAATAAAAGTTTCATATAGGAGGGTAGAAATTCTAAAAATTATCTCTTAAGATTATTGACTCATTAATGTTATTTCTGAAATTCAATTGTTCAGTTAGAAAATTGACTTTCATATTGACTGACAGACTAATTGCCTTATTTGGTCATTTTTTTAAATTTAGTGTATAGTTTTTAATCATGTATGTTTCATTTTTTCTATAATTGTCACCTATTCCTTGATACTTGAGATTATGCTTTTAAAGGAGTGACAAGGTAACTTGCTTTGTTTGCTTTTAAAAAGGATCTGCTGATAAATAATAAATAAAAGCAGTGGAGCTGTGCTTGAATTTTTCTACATCTATCTACAGAAATCAGATTTTTACTAAGGTTTTTACTAATTTTTTTATCCGTCTAGTTATGGTCAAGATTTCCAGTTCTTGACAATAGATGTAAATCTCATAAAAATATTCTTTATGGCTCATAGTGGTGAAACTCATTGTGGTGAAAACAAAATAGTAAGAGGGGGTTCATAAGAGTATAAAATCACATGGAAATGAGGTTTCCCTCTTAAGGTTGTATAGAAATGAGATCTTAAATAGAAAACTAAATCATTTCTGTACTAAATGTAATAGGAATGTAAACTGTAGTCATAGAAGGCACTGGTGTTATCAATCAGAAACTAAGTGATACAGTATAAATTACATAAATGCATGTTACGTAGTAGGTATTTCCAATCTTTTGGAAAAATGTAGTTTGCATTAAATTTAGCATACTGTATAAGGAAAGGGGCTTACTGAAAAGCATTGTTTTTGACAGATGGCTTTAAAATGCTATATACATATTTGTCTATTCTATAAAAGTTCCTTTTATGGCTTTTGAAGACACATCAGTCAAGGGATATACAAATTACACGAAACAAGACAAAATTGTCATGTATTCTTGTTATTCCCCTTCTAGAATTAAGAATTGGCGTTCTTTTAAGTAGGCAAATATTACCAACTTATTTGCTTATTCAATGTTTTCTTTTTTCCTTCTGTTCAGTCTCCATTTTTCAGAAACTGCTTGGACAGTCCTTGCAGTTCTCTCGACAAGATTTTTCAGAAGTAATTTGCCATTGCTTCCTTCCTAGGGCTGAGAGAAACTGACTAGCTCAGAGTCACCCAGCTGGCTTTGTGCCTAAAGTGGGATTAGAACAGGAACTGTTTCCTGATTTTTACCCTGATGCCTTAGCTGCTATTCCAGACTGGCCCTCAATTCAAGTTGATATTTAAGCTGTAATTCCATAACTCTCTCAGAGTAAATCCCATGGTATTTAAAGCAGATTTATATCTGTGTAGATATACACTGGATGTTTTATAAGTCTCTTGATGAGAAGAATGGAGCTGATTATGGAGCTGATTATGTGAAGTAGAAACTAAACTATTGATTTCTTTTATCAGTTAAATAAACCAATTTTCCCAATTGTAAACCATAACTAATGATATTTATGCTATAAATGTCTTTCTTTTAATTAATATCCCCAATAGCATAGATATCTACTGCCTTTGCTACAAGTCCCTTGCTTTCACTTGTACACTTTAACACTAGTAATTTTACAAACAGACTACCTCCGGGCTATCTTGTATCTTGTTTCATTTTCTGACAACTAGCAGCAAACCTCTTGTAGACCCTTTCAAGCCTAATTTGGTTGTGAAGCATTTTCTACCTCCAGAGAATTTCTACTTCGTAAAGTGCATTGCACACCCAGCCTCCTTAATGTTAAAACAAGCAGTGGGATTCCTTAAGGGAAATTAAGAAGTAATTTAGGTTGGAATGCGATTGCATTGATGTATAAGAATTGCACAGAAGTGCAATACCAAAGCACAGTTACTAATCTACACTTATATACTGCAATGCAGTCCAAGATTGTAAAACTACATATTTCTAGCAGTACCTTGGGACATTGGGCTTTACTGAATGTAATCAGGTGTTTGCTGCAGTATCTGTTTTAGTGCTTTATATCTAGACCATATCCAAAAAATAAAAATAAAAAATAAAACCATGCAATTCTGCACACCTAAGGGATTTCTGGCCCCTTCATTCTTAAACAGCAGCTTTGCCCTCAGTATCAATTTGAATAGAAGGAAATTTCAGAAGAAGCTGCTGATGTGGCTTATGAGAAATAGCATGGACTTTCATAAGCACTGATGTGTTTAGGGTGTACCTAAACATGTCTCTTCCATCTAATGTAGATAATGCATTATTTGAAGCATAAAAAACATTATTATTTAATTCTAGAATTATTCATAAAAATACAATTTTATTTTCACCTTTGTAATTTTATTCACACATTTATTTAAGCTCTCAACATGCTTTAGAACTCTGTTTCAAATAACACAGAAATTGTCTCCTTTAATATAGATTAGATCATTACATATATTCTGGGTTTATCTAAGCCAGGCATATCAAACTGCTGGCCCACGGGCCGAATGTGTTATGACGAAGCCGCGCCTACCCCATTGCCGGCAATGGGGGAAAAGTTGCAATACGTTGTGTGACGTCACGTAATGTCGCAAGTTTGACATGCCTGATCTAAGCAATATAGAGCTCAGCTAGTATAATCTACTATATGCTTAGAGAGAGTGCTATAAGCTCTCTTCTTCAGAAATATCCCAAGGAGTATTACTTCACTGTTCATACTGACCTTTATAAGATTTCAGCCCCAAACCCCAAATATCAGTAATAATTGGACATTGGTATCAGTCACAAGTGTAATAAAACTTGCGACATTTGCAGCTTCAGTTCCTAAGCATGTTTGGCTCCTGAACCTTTTGTGCCTGACAAACCCAGTGGTATATCATCTCCAAAAGCAAGAGCTTTTGGGTAAGGTTGATATAAAAAGTCATAAGTCATTGTGTATAGCTCAGTCCTGCTTTCTAAAAACTTGAAGAACGAGAAGGCAAACAGCTTTCCGTTATCACACAGTTTTGGTTATTTTTTAAATTGTTAGCTTAAGATGAATTCATTGTTTCCTTGTATTTTACATTTGGGTCCAATATGAGTTTAATGTTGGCATCATGCTCTACATGGGAGCAATGCAAAGAACAGGATGTAAGGGCAGAAGGAGAGGGTGATGGAACATGGATAGGTCTTCTTCCAGCCTATCTACATTCTTGGAATGCTGTTTGAACAAAATTCTCTTAAGTACATTATTTCACAGCCAGGCTTACCAGCAGTTATTTTATATACTTTATTATATTACTTTTATGGTTTGCAGCCTGATATTCTGAAAAGCATTTGAAAATGTTGTCTCCAGTGCAGAAGCTCTCAATGTACATGCAAAACAACAGAGTAATAATAATCATAATATTTATACCAAAAAGACCAGGTAGTAGAAAAGATAAGGATAGAAATAATACAGTCATGGCATATGGACAAATATACTTAGACATAAGACAGTGGGAATTAGGTGTTCAGTAGAGTGATGGTACAATGGAAAAAACTGTCTATGTGTCTAGTTGTTTTGGCATGCCGTGCCCTGTAGTGGCGTCCTAAGGGAAAGCATTAAAACAGTTTATGTCCAGGATGTGGCTGATGATATTTTTCAGGCTTTTCCACACATTTGCTAGTTCATTTGCTAAGAACTGATTCTTCAGCTTTTCAGAGTAAGCTTCTCTTTGCTGCTCTGATCTCTCTTGTTAACACATTCCTGGCCTGACTGTAAAACAAAAACCTACAGTGCTACCTTGGTACTCAATGTTAATTTGTTCTAGGACGCACAATGAGTACCATAAGAGATGAGTACCAGCCAAAATTTTCCCATAAGGAATAATGTAGTGAATCACAAGACAGCCAACACTGACAGGTTCTAACTTATGAGTTGAGTATCAAACAAATGATGAGTACCAGGACAAAATTGAGTTCAGTACCAAATTCAATGAATTGAGTACCAAATTTAATGAGTTTCAAAGCAGTTGAATACCAATATATCATTGTAAAAGAAACTGGAGCAATTTGGGGATGAAATACAATGACTACTCTTAGGCTGTTCATATTGCCTGAATCATAAAAGGAAGAGTGATTTTTTAAAAAAAAAATGATTGATTTTAAATTGATTTTTTTTTTAAAAAATCAGATGATATTTTAGTAAGTAGTACAGTATTGTGTTTGATTTAAAGCTGTGTCAGGAATTGTGTTTCCTCAAAGATCGCTCATTCTTAGTTGCACTGGCTAAATGGGATTTGGACTCCTGCTTTAAATCTTCTGAAGAGTTTCTCCTCTCTATTATAATTATTAAAACACTGATTTTTGCATATTAAAATAGAAATTATTTTGGACTGCGCTATTTAATTTAGAAGCAATCTGTAATGAGAAGAACTACTAAGCATTATGTTTCCAAAATTTTGCTCTTGGTTAAAATAAATAATAAAATAAGTAATCTTACTACTAATACTGATAATTTTTTTCTTGCTTTGAATCAGCCAACATGAAAGTAGTTTTGACATTGATTTGCAAAAGCAATATAAGATGGTTAAGTGAGAGATGTTGGATGCTGATGCAAGAATGAGAAACCAATGTTAGAGAATCTTGTCATCTAGAAAGACAAAAGTAATTTTACTTATGTTACAACCTTTTCATTGTTGACTTTATTTCTGGCAGCTGTTAGACTTTAAATACTTTGCTTAGTCATGAAGGTGTTATTCATTAGGTATCTAGAGTATAATGTTTCGCTAATA